TCCTATGAGGAGAATTTTCCGCCTTTAGGCTCTAACAAGTCCTCAGCCTTAAGGACCCCGTCCTTCAAGAGCAACTTTGCGAAAAGGCTCTACAGCGAGGAGCGGAGAAAGTCTAATGTTGTCCCCCCTTTAACGCCCCGATCACCGAGAGCCTTGGATTATTCCAATCCACCTTGGGTAATCCTACAGTGCCACAGATGTCAAGGTTTTGGACATCTTAAGGGTTCGTGTAGGAGGCCCTTCAATTGTTTGAAATGTGCGGGCCGTCATCCTACCACGGCCTGCCAAAAACCCCGCTTTCGTCCTGCCTTGTGCTGCAACTGTGGCGGACGCCATGTGTCCTCCTACAGGGGCTGTCCTGCATATCAGGATTACAAAAATGGTCACTTTGACACTCATCAGCGCAAGAAGGCTGGTATACGTCGTCCCCACAAACGGCCACCAGCTCGTCATACTCCAAAGCATGATCGCCCAATTCAAAAACCCAGTCAAAATCGTTTTGCCATCCTGAAGGCCTCTGAGCAATCGGCGCAGCACTTGGGTGATAGTTTTGGCTACAGGAATAGGAACAGCAACATAAACTCCCAATTAACCGATAGGCGAAACCAAAATCAGCGCTCGGTTTTGGGAAAGAGGAAAGGCCAAACCCCTTTGTCCAAGTCCCCTGGTTATGACCGTGTTAGCAAAAGGCAGCATTCCAATCCTTTTCGCAGCCAGGATAAGAAGAAACTTAAAAATCTGGCCGAATCCCACCTGGCTAGATTTCAAACAAGGCTTCGGATGGAGCACAATCAAAATAATACTAATAATACTAATAAAATAAGAATAGAGGACAATTCAAGGCAACGGCAGCGTCAGCATGAGATGTTGCCACCCAAACCCAAATCGTATCAGGAGCAGCTCGATCATTGGCAGCAAAGGCTGTTGGCTGTTGAGGATCAACAGAGGCAGTTTATCCTGGAAGGGAACCAGATAAATAAAAAGTTTTGCTTAAAGTTGAGGAGCTTGGGAAGTCATTTATTAAATTACTTGAATCTATAAATAAAATTACTGCAGCTTTTGACATAACAGAGCTGTCTATTAATAATACAAAATTACAAAGCATTTGTCACTCGGTTGAGATGGCATCTGTCGACGAGGAGGATTCACTTGTCCAACTATTAAACGCTAATGATGTTTATTATGATTAGTTCTTCCTTCCATCCTCCCTTTCAGCAGTGCCAAGGAAAAAATCCAAAAATCCAAAGCTGCTAAAAATTTGCTTCTGGAATGCGGGCGGCGTTTCCAACAAGCTGGCTGATTTGAAGGAATTTTTAGCCAATTACAATATAGATGTCATGCTTATATGTGAGTCCAAAGTCGGATCTCTCACTATTGATGGATACCATTCATATTTGGCCAGAAACCCGGTAAACCATCGTAAGGGCGGAGCTGCAACTCTTGTCCGCCATGGACTGTCACACTCTGTCCTTAGCCCTGAGGAGTTTGAATCATATCAAGCCTGTCCTGTCTTGATTAACAATGTTGTTGTGTCATCCATTTATTGTCCACCGTCTATTAGATGGGCAGTCGGCGAATTTACCCAGCTCCTCAGGCGTATAGACGCGCTCTGCCCACCAAGCTCCTTGCGCTTTATATTGGCGGGTGATTGGAATGCCAAGGACCAGATGTGGGGCAGTGCTCGTGGTTGTTGCAGGGGCAAATTATTAGCCGAAGCTATACATTCTAGAGCCAGATACAATGTTCTTGCCACAGGATCAGCTACCCATTTTCCTTTTAGCCGGAAATCTAATCCATCTAATTTGGATTTTGGGATATATTCTGGTTTTTCCCCAAAACACATCCGTATCTCATCGATGGATGGGCTTTACTCAGACCACCTCCCTATGCTTATTGAGGCAGCCCTTGGGTGTGCTCCTTTGGCTCTTCCGGATGCCCCTTCAGTTATCAATTGGCCTCTTTTTCCTCCTCGTAGCGTCCATGGTTTCAAGGCTTTTCAATCAACACTTGAGAGGAGCATAAACCTTAACATGGAATTGAAATCAATAGAGGATATTGATGATGCCATTGGTATTCTTACCCGGAAAATCCGTGAAGCTTTGGACCAACATGCTGCTTTCCATCCTGTTCCTAAAAGACACCCCCCGACAGCAAAGCTGGATCTTCGCACTAAAATTCTGCTGTTCCAAGCAAATTTCCTCAGAAGAAGTCTAAGGAAAAAACGAACACCTAATAATAAAAGGAAGCTTGGAATAATAAAAAATAGACTTTCTAAAGCCATTAAGCGGACTAAACAAAACAACATTGATCGCCAGTTAGCCCGCCTGGACCCAAGCGACAAGTATATTATGTCAAGGATTTGGAAGATCACCAGGAACTTGAAGCGTGTTGCTCCTTCTAGCCATCCACTCAAATTTCGGATTGATGTGCCTCCTAATGCTGCTATGACCAGGATGCCTGAATCTAGGTGGACAAGGACGGAACGGGAAAAAGCTGACGTATTTGCATCCCATCTTGAGGAGCGTTTTTCTCCCAACTTTAATATCTTGAACCTGGATTTGGATAAAAAGGCATTAGTAGATGAACTAAACAAGCTGATGGTAAACTCACCCACTAACACTGGCAACTCACTTTTCTTCCGCCTTGATGAGCTGAAAACTATCGTCGCTGGGCTTGCCACCTCAAAGTCTCCTGGTCAGGACAGGATCACCAATAAACTCATCAAAGCCTTGCCCAAGAAAGCTCTTCTCTTTCTCCTTAATATTTATAATTGTTCGCTCAGGCTGGGTTATTTTCCGTCCAAGTGGAAACAGGCGGAAATTTCGATGATCCTCAAGCCCGGAAAGTCGGTCCATGATCCATCCTCCTATCGGCCAATCAGCTTGCTCCCTGGTTTCTCAAAAATATTTGAAAGATTGCTGTTGAATAAAATGCTAAAATATGAAAATTTTGCCAAGGCTATACCCTATCACCAATTTGGTTTTAGGGAAGGTCACAGCGGTGAACAGCAAATTTTTAGAGTCTGCCAGTACATTCTCAAAGCCTTTGATAATAAAGAGTACTGTTCAGCTGTGTTTATCGACTTTACACAGGCTTTTGACAGAGTATGGCACGATGGGCTCCTTCTAAAATTGTTTAAACTGCTTCCCTTCCAGCTTTTCAACATACTGCGTAGCTACCTTTCTGGCAGGACTTTCTTTGTTAAAGGTGGAAATGGAACCAGATCGCTTATTAAGGATGTCAAGGCCGGGGTCCCCCAGGGCAGTGTCTTGGGACCCTTCCTTTATTCTATCTTCACCTCCGACTTGCCCCTTCCGGAAATGATTTCAAATTTTCCTGCTTGCCATAACCCGGAAAAATTATTGTTGGCTACTTATGCTGATGACTCGGCTGTGCTGTACAGCTGCAAAACACCGCAAGCAGCTGCCGGAGGCCTTAATGTCTACCTCAGCGCCTTTTGTGATTGGGCAAATAAATGGGGGCTCAAAATTAACACCTCAAAATGCGCCACGGTGTGCTTCACCCTTAATAAGGTGGTGAGCTTCAAGTACTGCGATATATTCATTGGGAAAGAGAAAATCCGGAGTAGTAAATCATTTAATTATCTTGGGGTCACACTTGACGAGAAATTGACCCTTAAATCTCATACAACCCACCTCTGCATTAGGGTCCGTGCGAGGGCCAAAAAACTCAATTGGCTTATTGGCCCAAATAGCCATTTAAATAGGGCCACCAAGTCAACTCTTATTAAACAACTTATCATGCCACTTTGGCAATACGCGCTACCGGTGTGGGCATCTTTATCCTCCGACACCTCTGTGAATAAAGTCCAATCAACAACCAATCGAATCATTCGTAAGGCTCTGGGCTATGATAGGTACGCCAAAAATAATGATATTTTTCTATTAAATAATATTAAAACCTTGGATGACCTCTACACTGAGCACTGCAATCGCTTCTTTGTCACAGCACTGGGTAACGATAACCCAGCTGTCAAAGAACTAGGAACGAATCCTGTCTCACTACGGAGAATAAGCAGATCTAGGCTGAGATACTTGAAGCTGTTGCAGGGGCACCTTTCTATCAACAAAAAGATAACCAACAAGGGCAATAAACTTGCTAAACCCACTCCCCCAACCCTCCTGCGTATGTATGAAGAGGAGGTGCAGCGGCTGAGACTGGAAAAACTCAGTTTGTTGAAAAAGTCTGCCACAGCTCAAAGGCTGCCCAGCCCTATTGAGATTGTTGACTCTCCTCCTAGGAAAAGAAAGAATCCAAATAGGGATAGCCACGCTAGACATGTCCTGCAACCACCTTCAGCTCACCTGCCTTCGAAATTCCAAGGGGAAATGATCAAAGCCCTTAGGAGACTTTTTACCTGCGGCGCCCTTTCACGGGCCAGTGTTGTTGATTTAATTAAGTCCCAAGCTCCTGCGATAAGACGGTGTATTATCCCTGACTGCGGCCCGGAGGACTTTGATGAGGACGCTAATATGGACTCTTGCTGGCCTTGCTCACCAACTTTAATTGAGATCCCTGACTCTCCGGATCTTTAATTACTTTCGTTCCTGTGCAATAAACACTCACCTGACAGTTTCAGACGCCAATCTTGCAACCTGTGCCTGACTATATGGATTCTTGCTGGCCTTGCTCACTAACTTTAACTGAGATTCCTGACTCTCCGGATCTTTAATTACTTTCGTTCCTGTGCAATAAACACTTACCTGACAGTTTCAGACGCCAATCTTGCAACCTGTGCCTGACGAGTTCTACGGACAAATTTCACTAACTCTGCGATATTCTTTCCCTCTGCAATATGGATTGACATGGATTACCTCCGCATTTGTGATGTCCCGCAATGTACCTGAAAATAAAAGGAAAAAAAAAAAAAAGGGAAAATAAACAATAAAAGGAATCCTTATCAGCAAACATGGAACTTCCCTTATCTATTTTGCCATTATTAACTTCCTTCCTTTCATCCTTGTCGTCCTATGAAGCCTTTTTGACAAATCTACTGGACCTTCTCCTGACGATCTCCTCCCGGGTAAATTTGGACAACGGGGTCAACCTGCTATGGAAACCAAACTGTGATATATATGCTGTGATATTTTTTTTTTAAGACAAGGATTACCCCTGATTTTATGATAATTATTTTACTCTGTTGGACGACTTTTACCCCCCTGGACCTCTTGATGTATTTACTTGGACGATGGCCTCCTGAAAAACAAATTTGGAGTGTTGGAATTTATTATAATGACTATGGATACTTACCTGCTGAACTCTTGACCTGATTCCTGTCCCTCCTGATGTCAATTCTTATGTTTTTGGAGCTGCCCTCGTCCGTCCACTTTTGTGCCATTTTGTTTAAAGTTATGCCATTTTTCCCGGAACTGCAGCAATCTGGAGAGGAATCAAAACAAAATCAATGTTTACAAATTGGAACTTTGCAAGGGGGGCTGCCAGCATGTTTTTCACACTAAATAAATAAATTAAAAGTTGAAATAAACCTCCATGATGAGAATCCCCATTTGATGATGATTTTGGCCATAGTTAATGTTTTTCCTTTTTGACTATGTCCTTGTTTTCTGATAAATGTTTTCGTCGTACTTATTGTCAATTATTGTAAATTTTTACCTTTTACTAAATTATGGCAATTCTCTTCCATGTCTCTGAGAGCGTTGCCACCCATCCACGTCACGATGTTACCAGTTGCCATGGATGATGCTATCGGATTTGCCATATGCCAAGGATTGGCATGAATTGCCCGGCAATTTATCCAAAATGCCCCCGTCGTCCTGCTCCAGCTCCGTTTTACCACCGCTGATGTCTTGCTGCGCTTCAACAAAATTCCCGCCAATGTGACGCTGCAGCCCTTGTCACTGTATAAGACTTCTGATGTTTTTGCTGCAACCCTGTTATCGATGCCCTGCCGTCCCAAAGAATTCTTTTTCCCGCCATGTTTATCGATGTCGCTTTTTCCCGCCATGTAAAGTGGTGAGTATCCGGAACAAAAGTTGCCCTCTGGGGTAATACTCCGGATGCTCACCACTCACTCTGCAATTGTGACCGTTGGCGGCGGTCGTCCCAAAATCCCAAAACCTAGTAAAAATCTAAAAATCTAATTAAACAGAACTGAACCAAATCCATGTAAACTAAAGTAAAACCAAAAGTAAAACCCATGTAAATCCATGTAAACTGTTTTTGTGAAAAGTTAAAAGCCAACTAAATTGTGAAACTAAAATTGTAAAACCAATTGCAGAACTCAAAAGCCAATAGAACAAACGATTAAAGACAAAATCAAAAGCCAATAAAACAATCAATTAAATTAAAAATCAAAATTAAAAAAAAAAAAACAAAGTGTTAATTTATTATTTTGGTGGTACCGGAAATTTTAATCAAAATTTGGAGAAACACACACACACACGAAGGAGTGCGGAATAGCGGCATACAGGAGCTGGACAAGTAACTGGACAAGAAGGAGAAGGAAGGAAAAAGTTTTTTATAATGGATACCTTTTTTGAATCGGACGACGAGATAATTTTCGATATTTCATCCCCAATTTCCTTAATTCTACCGGATGTTTCCTCACCTCACCGCTGTGAGTATGAATCTAAATTTAATAAATCACCCTCACTTCCCTCCTCGGTGGCGGAAACATACCTATCAAACGATGTTCTTCCAAAAAATTCCCCAATTATTTCCATGGGAAATTTGCCAAAGAGCCCCTGCTCTTCTGCCCAGGAGGTTAATGCCCCCCTCATAGCGTGCATTCTGGGCTCCAACCAATACCAGGTCATACATATGAAAATAGGAATACAAATAACTGCGCAAGCGCAAGCCGTTTTTTCCCCACTCACCCACACACCTGTACGGAGACAGATATTAAAAGAGGAGACAAACGCACACACACCAACGACGAAGAACATACTCTGATCTCTTCGAATGAGAAATTGACACCTGCCATTAACAGTGGCAAAGATAACAGACATAATAATAAACGAAATCTTTCCTCATCTCCGACTGTGCTTTTTAGCACGGAAAAAAGGGTCCTCCTGGAGGAGTCCCTTGTTAAATGTAACAAGCAAATTAACTGCAGCCCCCCTTGCCACACCTCTATTGTTACCCCAAAAGACATTAACATACATAAAAATGTTAACTCAATTAACAGTCCCCCATTCGCAATCCAGTATGTGCATTAACATTAGCAGCGCCAGGACAGGGCGCCATCTGTTGTCCTAAAACAAAAGTGCCTTTTGAACCACTTGTTGTTTCTTCATGTAATGTAAATTTAGAAAATGGAACAACTTCCGCTGACAAAGCCAAAGCCCATGAACTTGGACCCAAATCCTTTGCCCAAGGGGATCTAACTCCAGCTGCTCTGGAAATAGGAAATGATAAACAGGGCCCTTCCTCCTCTGTCAAAATACAGTCGGTGCAGGTCCTTAAAAACTTTTTCTCTGACTTGAAAAATTTTGCCATTACTAAACCTGCCACGCCCCTACCTCCGATACGCCCCTCTCTCAAACCAAGTATAAACCTGAAAGCTCCCAGTGCAGCCAGTTCGGTAGACCAAGGTCCTTTGTTTTTTAAAGCCAAAGCCCTGGTCCATACATCGCCAAATTCGCTTGGTGAGATTGAGCGTATCAGGACTAAAAGGCAACAGCAGCAGCAGCAGCATAGGCAACAGCAACAGAAATCAAACATATATGCGAAATCCTATGAGGAGAATTTTCCGCCTTTAGGCTCTAACAAGTCCTCAGCCTTAAGGACCCCGTCCTTCAAGAGCAACTTTGCGAAAAGGCTCTACAGCGAGGAGCGGAGAAAGTCTAATGTTGTCCCCCCTTTAACGCCCCGATCACCGAGAGCCTTGGATTATTCCAATCCACCTTGGGTAATCCTACAGTGCCACAGATGTCAAGGTTTTGGACATCTTAAGGGTTCGTGTAGGAGGCCCTTCAATTGTTTGAAATGTGCGGGCCGTCATCCTACCACGGCCTGCCAAAAACCCCGCTTTCGTCCTGCCTTGTGCTGCAACTGTGGCGGACGCCATGTGTCCTCCTACAGGGGCTGTCCTGCATATCAGGATTACAAAAATGGTCACTTTGACACTCATCAGCGCAAGAAGGCTGGTATACGTCGTCCCCACAAACGGCCACCAGCTCGTCATACTCCAAAGCATGATCGCCCAATTCAAAAACCCAGTCAAAATCGTTTTGCCATCCTGAAGGCCTCTGAGCAATCGGCGCAGCACTTGGGTGATAGTTTTGGCTACAGGAATAGGAACAGCAACATAAACTCCCAATTAACCGATAGGCGAAACCAAAATCAGCGCTCGGTTTTGGGAAAGAGGAAAGGCCAAACCCCTTTGTCCAAGTCCCCTGGTTATGACCGTGTTAGCAAAAGGCAGCATTCCAATCCTTTTCGCAGCCAGGATAAGAAGAAACTTAAAAATCTGGCCGAATCCCACCTGGCTAGATTTCAAACAAGGCTTCGGATGGAGCACAATCAAAATAATACTAATAATACTAATAAAATAAGAATAGAGGACAATTCAAGGCAACGGCAGCGTCAGCATGAGATGTTGCCACCCAAACCCAAATCGTATCAGGAGCAGCTCGATCATTGGCAGCAAAGGCTGTTGGCTGTTGAGGATCAACAGAGGCAGTTTATCCTGGAAGGGAACCAGATAAATAAAAAGTTTTGCTTAAAGTTGAGGAGCTTGGGAAGTCATTTATTAAATTACTTGAATCTATAAATAAAATTACTGCAGCTTTTGACATAACAGAGCTGTCTATTAATAATACAAAATTACAAAGCATTTGTCACTCGGTTGAGATGGCATCTGTCGACGAGGAGGATTCACTTGTCCAACTATTAAACGCTAATGATGTTTATTATGATTAGTTCTTCCTTCCATCCTCCCTTTCAGCAGTGCCAAGGAAAAAATCCAAAAATCCAAAGCTGCTAAAAATTTGCTTCTGGAATGCGGGCGGCGTTTCCAACAAGCTGGCTGATTTGAAGGAATTTTTAGCCAATTACAATATAGATGTCATGCTTATATGTGAGTCCAAAGTCGGATCTCTCACTATTGATGGATACCATTCATATTTGGCCAGAAACCCGGTAAACCATCGTAAGGGCGGAGCTGCAACTCTTGTCCGCCATGGACTGTCACACTCTGTCCTTAGCCCTGAGGAGTTTGAATCATATCAAGCCTGTCCTGTCTTGATTAACAATGTTGTTGTGTCATCCATTTATTGTCCACCGTCTATTAGATGGGCAGTCGGCGAATTTACCCAGCTCCTCAGGCGTATAGACGCGCTCTGCCCACCAAGCTCCTTGCGCTTTATATTGGCGGGTGATTGGAATGCCAAGGACCAGATGTGGGGCAGTGCTCGTGGTTGTTGCAGGGGCAAATTATTAGCCGAAGCTATACATTCTAGAGCCAGATACAATGTTCTTGCCACAGGATCAGCTACCCATTTTCCTTTTAGCCGGAAATCTAATCCATCTAATTTGGATTTTGGGATATATTCTGGTTTTTCCCCAAAACACATCCGTATCTCATCGATGGATGGGCTTTACTCAGACCACCTCCCTATGCTTATTGAGGCAGCCCTTGGGTGTGCTCCTTTGGCTCTTCCGGATGCCCCTTCAGTTATCAATTGGCCTCTTTTTCCTCCTCGTAGCGTCCATGGTTTCAAGGCTTTTCAATCAACACTTGAGAGGAGCATAAACCTTAACATGGAATTGAAATCAATAGAGGATATTGATGATGCCATTGGTATTCTTACCCGGAAAATCCGTGAAGCTTTGGACCAACATGCTGCTTTCCATCCTGTTCCTAAAAGACACCCCCCGACAGCAAAGCTGGATCTTCGCACTAAAATTCTGCTGTTCCAAGCAAATTTCCTCAGAAGAAGTCTAAGGAAAAAACGAACACCTAATAATAAAAGGAAGCTTGGAATAATAAAAAATAGACTTTCTAAAGCCATTAAGCGGACTAAACAAAACAACATTGATCGCCAGTTAGCCCGCCTGGACCCAAGCGACAAGTATATTATGTCAAGGATTTGGAAGATCACCAGGAACTTGAAGCGTGTTGCTCCTTCTAGCCATCCACTCAAATTTCGGATTGATGTGCCTCCTAATGCTGCTATGACCAGGATGCCTGAATCTAGGTGGACAAGGACGGAACGGGAAAAAGCTGACGTATTTGCATCCCATCTTGAGGAGCGTTTTTCTCCCAACTTTAATATCTTGAACCTGGATTTGGATAAAAAGGCATTAGTAGATGAACTAAACAAGCTGATGGTAAACTCACCCACTAACACTGGCAACTCACTTTTCTTCCGCCTTGATGAGCTGAAAACTATCGTCGCTGGGCTTGCCACCTCAAAGTCTCCTGGTCAGGACAGGATCACCAATAAACTCATCAAAGCCTTGCCCAAGAAAGCTCTTCTCTTTCTCCTTAATATTTATAATTGTTCGCTCAGGCTGGGTTATTTTCCGTCCAAGTGGAAACAGGCGGAAATTTCGATGATCCTCAAGCCCGGAAAGTCGGTCCATGATCCATCCTCCTATCGGCCAATCAGCTTGCTCCCTGGTTTCTCAAAAATATTTGAAAGATTGCTGTTGAATAAAATGCTAAAATATGAAAATTTTGCCAAGGCTATACCCTATCACCAATTTGGTTTTAGGGAAGGTCACAGCGGTGAACAGCAAATTTTTAGAGTCTGCCAGTACATTCTCAAAGCCTTTGATAATAAAGAGTACTGTTCAGCTGTGTTTATCGACTTTACACAGGCTTTTGACAGAGTATGGCACGATGGGCTCCTTCTAAAATTGTTTAAACTGCTTCCCTTCCAGCTTTTCAACATACTGCGTAGCTACCTTTCTGGCAGGACTTTCTTTGTTAAAGGTGGAAATGGAACCAGATCGCTTATTAAGGATGTCAAGGCCGGGGTCCCCCAGGGCAGTGTCTTG